TCATGTCCCCGATCCCCCTGGTGTCCCGGTGTCCCTGCTGATGTCCCCGTGTCCCCACAATGTCCCCAAACCCCCATGACCCCGATGTCCCCACAGTGTCCCCAACGTCCTCAATCCCCTGGTGTCCCCAATGCCCCCAAGCCCCCAATCAACCCATTGTCCCCAATGTCCCCGACGTCCCCAATCTCCCCAACGTCCTCAATCCCCCCGGTGTCCCCACGGCCCCCGGTGTCCCCGCTGATGTCCCCGTGTCCCCAGGCGTGCCAGCACGGCCACTCGCAGCACTTGGAGCATTTGCTGTTCTACGGCGCCGAGGCGGCGGCACAGAACGCGTCCGGCAACACCGCGCTGCACATCTGCGCCCTCTACAACAAGGTGACACCTTGGGGACATCGGGGACACCCTGGGGACATCGGGGACACCGGGGACATGTGGGACACAGGGACATTGGGGACATTGCAGGGATTGGGGACATTGGGGGCATCAGGGACATTGGGGGATTGGGGGGGAATGGGGACATTGGGGACATTGGGGACACTGGGAGTGTTGGGGACTTCAGGGACATTGGGGACATCAGGGATTGGGGACATTGGGGACTTTATGGGGCCATTGAGGGCACTGGGGATGGGGGGGAATTGGGGGTTGGGGACGTTGGTGACACGCTGGTGCCACGTTGGTGACATGCAGTGACACATTGGTGCCACACTGGTGACACACGGTGACACCTTGGTGCCATGTTGGTGCCACATTGGTGACACACAGTGACACCTTGGTGCCATGTTGGTGCCACGTTGGTGACACACGGTGACACCTTGGTGCCATGTTGGTGCCACCACTGGTGGCACTTTGATGCCACCTCGGTGCCACGTTGTTGTTTGACACACGGTGCCATGTTGGTGCCACCACACCGGTGACACGCTGGTGACATACAGTGCCACGTTGGTGCTTGGTGACACACGGTGACACCTTGGTGCCATGTTGGTGCCACGTTGGTGACACACGGTGACACCTTGGTGCCATGTTGGTGCCACGTTGGTGACACATGGTGACACCTTGGTGCCATGTTGGTGCCACGTTGGTGACACATGGTGACACCTTGGTGCCATGTTGGTGCCACGTTGGTGACACATGGTGACACCTTGGTGCCATGTTGGTGCCACGTTGGTGACACATGGTGACACCTTGGTGCCATGTTGGTGCCACGTTGGTGACACATGGTGACACCTTGGTGCCATGTTGGTGCCACCACTGGTGGCACTTTGATGCCACCTCGGTGCCACGTTGTTGTTTGACACACGGTGCCATGTTGGTGCCACCACACCGGTGACACGCTGGTGACATACAGTGCCACGTTGGTGCCACCACGTTGGTGCCATGCCGGTGCCACACTGGTGACACACAGTGACACCTCGGTGACATGTTGGTGACACGCTGGTGACACTTTGATGCCACCTTGGTGCCACCACACTGGTGTCACACGGTGCCGCATTGGTGTCACCACACTGGTGACACGCTGGTGACACTCTGGTGCCACACGGTGCCATGTTGGTGCCACCACTCTGGTGACACACTGGTGCCACACGGTGCCATGGCGGTGACACGCTGCTGTCACAGTGCCACGCTGGTGCCACCACACCGGTGACACTCTGGCGCCACACGGTGCCATGTTGGTGCCACCACTCTGGTGACACACTGGTGTCCCACGGTGCCACGTTGGTGCCTCCCCCCCGGTGACATGCTGGTGACACACGGCGCCACGTTGGTGCCACCGTGGCGGAGACACTCTGGTGACACGCTGGCGCCACACGGTGCCATGTTGGTGCCACCACTCTGGTGACACACTGGTGTCACATGGTGCCACGTTGGTGCCACCACACCGGTGACATGCTGGTGACACACGGTGCCACGTTGGTGCCACCGTGGCGGTGACACTCTGGTGACACGCTGGCGCCACACGGTGCCATGTTGGTGCCACCACTCTGGTGACACACCGGTGACACTCTGGTGCCACACGGTGCCATGTTGGTGCCACCACTCTGGTGACACGCTGGTGTCACATGGTGCCACATTGGTGTCACCACTCTGGTGACACTCTGGTGTCACACGGTGCCACATTGGTGCCACCACTCTGGTGACACACTGGTGACACTCTGGTGCCACGGCGGTGACACGCTGGTGTCACAGTGCCACGCTGGTGCCACCACACTGGTGACACGCTGGCGCCACACGGTGCCACGTTGGTGCCACCGTGCCGGTGACACGCTGGTGTCCCCAGGAGAGCTGCGCCCGGATCCTCCTGTACCGCGGGGCCAACAAGGAGGTGAAGAACAACAGCGGGCAGACGCCGTTCCAGGTGACACTGGGGACATGGGGACATGGGGACACTGGGGACATGGGGACACTGGGGACACTGGGGACATGGGGACACTGGGGACATGGGGACATGGGGACATGGGGACACTGGGGACACTGGGGACACTGGGGACACCAATGGGGACACGGGGACATCACTGGGGACACGGGACAGCAATGGGGACATGGGGACATCACTGGGGACATGGGGACACTGGGGACACCAATGGGGACATGGGGACACTGGGGACACTGGGGACACTGGGGACA